TAGATGTGTATAAGAGACATCCCTCTCTCTGAAATCAATAAAAACATATTTAAAAAAAAAAAAAAACCAGGAGCAGCCGGATGGCCTGTCCTGCTCGGCCCTGGGCTGGCTGCTGGACACCCCTCCAGAGCCCCCGCTCGCGGCCCTACCTTCCTTCAGCAGGTCCGTGATGTCCGCCTGGTACCGGTTGCCCACACGGATCTCCCCTTTGTCGGCCAGCAGGGTCTTCTGCTGCGGGTCGTAGACGAGAGAGTAGAAGAAAAAGTCCTGGAAGACAGCACGGGACAGGTCAGCGCTGCACCGGGGGCCTCGCCCAGCCGCGGGCTCCACTGACTAGAGGCGACAGCAGGCGGAGATCAGGGAGGACACCAGCGTGACCGCGGCACTGGATGGCCACGTGCTCAGACCCTGCAGGGAACAGACTGACGCCAGGCCTACGGAGCCGGCCCAGGCTCTGGGCGACCAACACCCCCGTCGGCAGCATACCTATCAGCAGCGAGTCTGAAAGCTAGTTTATAAAAGTGTTTAATGGCGAACCCAAGTCCCAAGACACATGGGAATGACCCTGACAGGTTCTGGGCACGTCCAGCAAGTTGTCAGGGGAGACGTACACAAGTGGAGTCACAGAATGTTCTGGACTTGGCGCCCACAGCTGAGGGTGCAGCAGCCGGCCCGGCCCTGCCCAGTCACTCCAGCCGCACCCCAGCATCTCCTGCAGCCAGCTGTGTGACAGCCACGCTCGGCGCGCCCCTCCCGCCCTGCGGTCTGGCTGCAGCGAGTACGCAGCCCCCACCTCATCGGTCCAGCACTGTTGTGCAGGTTCCCCGTGTTTCCTGGAAGAGCCCGAGTGGCTGGACTATTCTGAGCAACAGGCCAGTGACCCAGGCCCGGGACGGGGGTCCCTGCCGGCCGCCTGCTCACCCTCCGGCCACCGACTGCAGCCTCAGCTCCTCTCATGACTCCTCCCTCTCCGGCAGCTTTTCCAGCCCCCCTCCCACCTGCGGTTTCCCTGAATTAATCGGCCCCATGGTGTGCCCCCCACCCCCGCAAGCGGCCCTGAGCATCCATGCCGAGCCTCCCTCCTGGCTGGAGTCCTGCTCACTGCGAATGCCCGTGAGGCCTGCCCGCCCGTGGCCTGAGCGGGGACAGCACCGCACTAACCCTCGCCCAGGGTGGCCCAACCTTGGCAGGGAAGGCTGCCCTGCACCAGGGTCTCGGGGCACCTGTCTTCTCACTGTGTAAGATGAACGCTTCCCGAACACCTAGATGCCCCCACCTGGAGACACGCACAGGACCCGGAGACACCAGGCCAGGGCCACTTCCATGCCCACCCCGACCGTGGCACGTGTGCTCACCAGAGTTGAATGGTTTCACAGCAGCCTCTTTGCTCACAAATGTCTGTCATTCCGTGTATGGCTGTCACTAAGGGGTCTCTCTAAACCACAGACAGTGCCCCCTACTCCCAGTGGGCTCATCCTGGGTCGGGGGGGCACTGCCCCTGTGCCCGGCGGCTTCCAGGTGATGCTGGTGCACAGAGCTTCCCGCATGGGGCCACCCACCTGCCCCCATCCTGCCAGGCGGGCTGCCGGCTGCCTGCCCAGCCTGCTCTTCAGGACTCAGCTCAGACACTGCCCCCTGCTGGAGGCCTCCTGGGGGCGGCCTCAGTGGTGGCTGCCCTCCCTGGACTGCTGTCTTGTCATCATCGGTCATCATCTGTGGCCTGGTCGTCACCCACCACGTCCCACTGAGCCCAAGACAGCCCGGCTCTGTGGCGGGGTGGACGTGGCCCAGGGCAGTGGTGCCCTACATGGTGACCTGTCCTCTAAGTTGCTGTCATGCCCCGGCCACCCTGACCCCATCCAGCCTCTTGGAACACAGGCTGCCCACTGGCCGTCTCTCACCAGGGTGAACTGCCCCCCAGGGACGTGGCTGTCTGGAGACACTGCTGGTGTCACACCTCAAGGGTGGGGGGCGGCCTACGGTGCACACGTCCCCGGTGCTTGTCTGAGGGACAAAGTCAGGCCCTCGGGCCTCAAGCCCATGGCTGTGCTGATGGTTTTGATTTTATAAACCTGGAAAATCTTCTCACCCCGTCAACACTGCTCTGGGTGGACGCGGTGAGGGCTGGCGGTGGCTGCGTGGCCAGCACGGGTTTGTCATTATTCCTGAGACCAGCAGTCCAGGGGCAGAAATGGGCCCAGCCCTGCCAGTCCTGGGCCCTAGGGGTGGAGGCCCCCCCGCCAGCAGGACACCTGTCCCCGCAGCCGCCCCTCACCTCCCGCCCGGCAGCCGCCCCTCACCTCCCGCTCCAGGTAGGACTTGAGCGACTCGGTCTCGTTGAGCAGAGTGACACTGCATTTCCCTCTGTGGGAGACACAGGGTGGGGGGGGTCAGGGGAGAGGCCGCCTGGGCTGCCCTGCCCCCCACGGCCCCCAGCTACCTGATGTGGGTGGCGGGCAGGGACTCCAGCTGCCGCGAGAGGAACAGCTCCCGGTGCCGCAGCTGGTGCTTGAGCTTCTCGGGCAGGCCAACCATCTCGGGGTTCTCCATCTCCTCCTCGATCTCCCCTGCGGGGCAGGGCCATCAGCGGTCCCAAGGCCCCTGCCAACCGGGTAGGGGTGGGGAGGTCCCACGGGGCAGCAGAGCCCCCAGCCCCCGCAGAGGGCACCCTTACCTTCCTCGCCGTTGTCGGCCCCGGACCCAGTTTTGTAGCAGACAGACAGGGCTGGAGGGCAGAAGGTTGGACAGCGGGTTAGTGCTGCCCACGGGTGGCAGCCACGGGGGACAGGGAGGCCTCTGCTGTGGACACCCCAGCACACTCGGCCTAGGGTGGGGTGCCCCTGAGTGGAGGTCTGGGGCAGTACAGGGGGCCCGTGGGGCAACACCAGGGCAGGGACACGTGGAGCTCAGCCACCCCAGGGCTGCCACCCCGTCAGCGTCCTGGGAGCCACCAGCCACACAGCTAAATCCTTGCCTTCTGTCCCAGGCACCCGAAGGTGGGGCACAGCGTGGCGCTTCCAGCTGCGGCCCCTCCCCCAGGGCTGGCGGGTGAGACCTGCCCGGAGACGGGTACCCACCCGGCCGCCAGCCCGCGGCCCTCTGCTGCCCCCCTGTGGTGGCTGCAGGGAGTCCTGGTGCCCTTGGCCTGCTCCGGGCAGTGCCCACACTGCTGGCCTCCTCCCCTCCCTGCCCGTTCCTGGGGACCCCACGAGCACTCCCGGCCTGGGGATGTCACCAGCACCCGAACACCAGGCCTGTGATGGCACCGCTGGGCCAGGCAGTTTGGCAGGGAACTGGGGAGAGAAGCAGGCATCCTGGGCACCAGGGATGGTCCCCACGGGCAGACACAACCCGCACGGCCCCACGGCGGCTCCGAGACGCCCGCCCCGCCAGGGCTGTCAGCAGCGGTGAGGAGGGGCCCAAGGAACAGGTCTCCCAGGGCCACAGTTACGGCCTCAGGTGGCCTCCAGCCCCCAGGAGATGGGGAGATGTTCCCTGCAGCCCCCTCCCCAGCACGCCAAGCCCTACCTTGGGCCCTAACCCTCAGCCCCCAGAACTCAGGTGGTTAACCCAGGGCAGGTGGCCTGCGGCATAGAGACCCCTTCCCTAGGGACAAGTGGGCCCTGGCCCCGGGCTCAGGACTGGAGGACTCACTCCCAAGTCCCAGGAAGGCTCTGCTCCCCACACCCCAGCTCACTCACCCCACGGATTCTGGGGGGTTCCGGGGAGGGCCTGTCACCTGGGCCTGAGGTTCCCTCCAGGGAAGGTCTCACTCAGGAGGGGGGCTCCGAGGGGGGTGTTGGTGTGTGAGGGGGTGTGGGGTGTGGACGTGGGTGCAGGTGTGCATGTATTTATATGTATGTATGTGAGAGAGCGTGTGTGTGGGCATGTATGTTTGTGCATGTTGTATATATGTGTGTGTGTGTGTGTGGCAGAAAACGTGGCTACATCCGCTGTGGCCTGAGAAGGCTGTTTGGGTCCCCATGAGGGGGCTGAGCAGTGGCCTAGGAGACTCCATGAAGGGCTTTGTGCTGTGAGGTGGCCCAGGAGCACCCATCCTACAGTGGGGACTGGACACCCTGGAGGGGTGAGGCACCCAGGGGATCCTGTCTTTCAGGCCTTCAGATCTAGAGGAACCTTAGCAGCTGCTCTGACTGTGCAAAGGGCTCCCCTGGGTCGCCGCCCCTCCTGCCAGAAGGGCCCAGTGTCTTCACACACGTCCCGAGGCTGGGCTGGGCCCTGGGCGCAGCATGCTCACAGGGGACACACCGGAGACGGCCCCGCACTGAGGCAGGAGAGCTGGTGGCCTCGTGGGCCCCATCGCGTGACATGTGTTCCCTGCAGCTGCTTTCAGTCCACAGCATGGAACTTCCCGTGCACAGGGGCCGCCTGCGGGCAGGCCTCCGGGGGCAGCTCTCTGGAGACTCTGGTCCCAGGGGCTCTGCACGCACCTCAGGGCCAGGCCTGGGCTGGGCTGCTGCTCTCTGCCCAACCCACCAGCTCCAACGTGGGCCTTCTGGAAAACCTGCCCCTCCCACAGCGCCGGGTGCAGAACACCCACCAAGCTCCCTGTTGGAGCCCATGTGTTCCACCGGGTCCCCGCATGTCACCATGTGCCAAGGGGGTGAGGACTGTGGTTGCTCTGGGCTGGGCAGTGTACACAAGTGTGAAGATTCTCGGCCATCAATGCCCCCAGGTCAACAGTGACGCCTGCCCCCCACCCCCACCAGGGCCACTCAGACCACAGGTCCACAGCCTGGCAGCCCACTCATTGAGGCCCCCACAGCATCCTCATGGCCTGGAGCAGGAACCAGCTTAGCTGACACCTGCAGGGCCAACCACTCCTCTGGACCACACAGCTTGTGGACCCTTGAGACCCTCAGCTGGGCTCTTTGCCTTGGCACCTGGAGGCCATAGAGGGTGGGCACAGGCTTTAGGGTTGGAGGTTCCCCCTCCAGCTCAGCTTTGTCATCCACCAGCGGATGCAGAGCTGCCTGCACCACAGGGACGCTGCAAAGCGCACAAGACGGCCAGAGAGAACAGGACCGAGGCCCAGGCCCACGGCCACTCCAGATGAGGCCAGAGAAGAACCCGCGGTTCCCTTGCACCTGCTGGGGCTCCACTGAGCTCGTCCACCTGGGCTTGGCACAGGGGCCCGTGCTGACCCCGGGCACTGCTCAGGGCTCCTTCCCACCTAGGCTGCTGGGAACAGGGTCTCGGCTATAACTGTGCACACCCTGGTGACATGAGTCAAGAGACGCTACCTGATGAACTCACAAGAGCTCAGGCTGGTTGGCCAGGGTGGCAGCACCACCAGGTGTCTGGGGGACCAGGGACAGTCACATTCCAGGCCCACTGGGAGACGTCGCCCGCACGGGCCAGACCTCCCAGCCCCAGGCTCAGCAGGACAGGCCACGGGAACCCGCCCGGAAGCACGTCTGAGACACCGCAGGCGGCTGCTGCTCCTCTGGCCCCAGACACAAGGAGGGCACAGGGCAGCCCTGCCCTGAAGGAAAGGGTGTGGCCCGGCCCACCTGTCCGTGGTCGCCTGCCTGAGAGAACGGGCCGGCCGGGCACTGAGTGTGGGACAGTCCGTCAGAGTCAGGTCCCCCCAGACTTGGGTGTGAATGTAAACACAAAGGCAGGACCAGCAGCGCCCTGGGCCCCCACCCTGCCTGAGCCCAGGGCCCCACCCTCCCTGCTGTACCCAGGAAACAGCCCAACTGGGTTTGAAGTCTCAAAATCAATCATATAAGGAACAGAACTTCAGGCAGTGACACTCCCCAACCCCTTACAGGGGCCCACCTTCTTTTTTAAGCCTCACTTGAGGATATTTTTCCCATTGATTTTTTTTTAGAGAGGTTGGAAGTGAGCAGGAAAGGGGGGAGAGAGAGAAACGTCGATGTGAGAGAGACGCACCGACTGGCTGTCTCCCGCAGGCACCCCAGCTGGGGCCGGGGATGGAACCTGCAACCCAGGTACATGCCCTTAACCAGGAATCAAGCCTGCGACCCTCCAGTGCACAGGCCGACGCTCTAACCACCGAGACACACGGGGGCAGGGCTACCAAGACCCACTTTTTAGGGAAGGGCAGGGGAAGGACACGCACAAGGACGTCACAGCGCTGCAGGGACTCCGGGGTAACCCCTGCCCAGCACCCGGGGAGGGGAGGGGCAGTGGGGTGGGCGAGCCTGGGAAGGGCACACTCACTGGCATGCTTGTCGGCCAGGGCGATGAGGGTGCTGGAGATGTCCCGCCTCCGGTAGAAGCACACCACCTTGGCCTCCACGTTCCCATTGGCCGTCTGCAACAGCAAGAGCGCGTCACCGAGGGCCAACCAGGGCGCCCCCGCCCCCGGGGCCAGCAGTACCCAGGACCGGGACGCTCATGGACCGAAGCCCCCAGGCCTGCCCCGCTCCTCCCCTCCACCTACA